GCACAAGGATCCAAGTTCAATCCCCAGTACCACATGTGGTGCCATTCCCCAGAACCCCAGGCACACCATACTGTCCACCAAAACCGGGTATGGTCACCCACACCTGTGATTCCAACACTGGGGAGTCTGACGCAGGAGGATCATTGTGAGTCCAAGCTGTGTAGCAAGCCCCTGTACCAAACAAATAAATAAAAGATTTTTTAAAAAAGATTTTTCACATGGAGTATATTACATTTGTCTCATTAGAGGTGTTCTCACTTCTTCCTTTCCAGTATGAATGCTTTCTTTTTTTCATGCCTTATACCTCTTCTTACCTACTGTACTAACTAAAGCCATCAGCAACAAGGCTGGATAGAAAGAGAGGAGGTAGATGTCATTCTCTTCTTTCTAATCTTTGGGGAAAAGCTTTCAGTTTTTCACCATTAAATATGAAGTTAGCAGTTGATTTCTTATAGATGTCCCCCTTTAAGTGCAAGAAGCTCCCTTCTGTTCGTGGACAACTTGTGATCAGAAATGAATGCTGGATTTTCATCAAATCGTGTTTGTTGGTTGGTGTTGTTTTGTTACACTTAATGAGATCATATATTTTTCTTTTTTTTTTAGTTTATTAACATTGTTATTTCACTGACAGATTTTTTTTTTAATGTAAAAATTACCCTTTTGTTCCTGTGATAAAACCTGACTCGGACCAGGGGTGGGGTGGGGCATACTTATAATCCCAGCACTTGGGAGGCTGACACAGGAGGATTGCACAGGGCAAGGCCAGCTTGGATTACATAATGAGATCCTGTCTTAAAAAATGACAGCCAAACTCAGATTGGCCATCGTACATTTTCCTGCTTTACACACTGTTAGGTTCTGTCTGTCTACTTTTGTTAAGACTTTTCTACCTATGTGCATGAGGGATATTAATCTGTAGATATATTTTCTTGTAATATTTTTGTCCGGCACTGGTATCAAAATGGCTATGGCTTACTAGAGTGAGATGGAAAGCGCTCTCTCTACCTAAAATTCCTGAAGGAATCTGTGTGTAAGTGATGTCCTGAGCTACACTGCGTACTCTCAGGCCTCATGTGGTGAAGTCCTGGTCCCCAGTGCCTTGGAATGTGGCTGTGTGAGGAGATAGGGCCTTTAAAGAGGTGGCTGTATTCAAATGAGAATGACGCTAATCCATTCAATTTTCCATAAAGCTAGAAGCCAAACAGTGCATGTAGCTGATGTATTCATGAAAGAGCACAACTGGAAGGCCCAAAGAGCCCTAACAGATGTGCTGGTGTGGAGGAAGAACCACTCAAGGACACTGGAAGGGGTGCCCCCCCCCCCCAAGCTGAGGAAAGAGAACTCAGAATGGCACCAGTCCTACCAACAACTCCATCTTGGACTTTCAACCTTCAAGGTCGTGAGAGGACAACTGCTATTTATTTTATTTTATTTTTCTGTGTTTTAGGGAAGGGTCTAAGGGTGTTCAGGGTCTCACTACTAGATCAGACTCATAGTGACCAGCTTGTTTACAACCTCCCAAGAGCTGGGATTACAGACTTGCACCACCATGCCTAGTCTCAATTGCTGTCTCAGTGTGCCCCAGGGGTGGGGCCAGCACTGCAGGCCCTGGAATCAAACCCCTGACCCCTGCGCCTGCTTACAGGTGCTTTAATCCACTGAGCCATTTGGTCAGCTTTGCAACTGTTGCTTAAACCCCCAGGCTGTGGGATTTTCTATGACATGCCTAACGATTACAATTCATATTATTTGTTCCTTAAGTATTTGGTCAAATTTAATAGTAAAGTCTTCTGGACCTGGAGTTTGTTCATGGAATGGTTTTTAAACTGCAAGCTCGAGCACTGTAAAATTATTTAACCTCAGGAGGCTGATACAGGAAGATTTCCACAAACAGACACCTTTAAACTGTATATTCTATAGCTATTAGACTATTTCCAGCTATGTGAGTTTGTCCTTTAAGGCAATTGACCATTTTATCTTAGTGTGTTTGCTGCCAAACTGAGCGCAACCATCTTATCTTAGTTGTTGAATATATCCTCATATTCACAGTCATACAAAAATTAAAAGAAATATATGAAATCATTTTATTATCTATTGATGACTATTTATTAATCCATTGTACATATCCTTTCAAATGACCTGTTTATGGATTGGATACACACCAATCTCCTCTTTTAAAGCAACTACTATTAACCCATATGTATAGGTATAGGTTTTCATAATATCATCAAATAGTCAATGAAGATATGATTATAGATGGATGGTTAGTAATTTGCTCAATGAATCCCCTCACTGAAACTACTTCTGATTTGGAGGGGCCTCATAAAAGTACATCTGTCCCTGGGAAAAACCTAGGTTTGTATCTTGGTGTACAGTCCCAGAAGTGGAATTTCTGGGTTAACCAGTTTATTATTGACTTCATTATTGAGCACACTGTACCCTGCACGGGGTGGGCGGGGAGTGGAAGAACTCATCTTCTCCCTGGAGGATCAGGCCTCTCTACGGACCTGCCCAACTAGCCCGCAGTGGGGATCTCAGGGGAGAAAGTGACCGCGGAGTTATCACAGGCCCTTGAGTTCCTGACCTTCACCTCCTTAGCATAAGCGTCCGTGGCTCCCAGCAACCTACAGGCTGGAGGCTGTGTCTTAGGGTACACTCTGTACAGCGCCTTGGTTCTTTCTTCTTTGGAGCATGATGGTATCATCCAAACAAAAATTAAATCCCAGCCTTGTGCAGACAAGTGAGGGCAGGGACCAGTTTTACCACTCCCAGCAGGGTTTTTGGAGGAAAGGAGGGCCTCAGCCCTGCAGGAGCCACCCTCTGAGGGAAGTGTCGAGATCCACAAACCAAAACACACACGGAGAGCTGCAAAGGAATGTATAGGCAGGTGCAAATTAACACCTCCCCACAGAAGGATGTGTGAGCTGATGCAGGGAGGTTTTTCCAGGGCTACTTCCTGGGAAGGAGAAGGCCCAGCTCCATAGAGAAGAAGCTAGGCAGAAGAAGAGTGGGGGCTGGGAAAGGGGGAATGAACGCTACATGAGATGGGCTGATTGGTTGGAGACAGCCAGAAGAGGAAGTCAGCAAAGCTTGGGGCAGGGAGGGATGCCCCAGGAAGCTCCTCCCTGTCCCTTGTCAGCAGGTTGGGGGCCACTAAGACAGAAGGATCAATGTACAGGTAAGAGGATTATTGGAGTGTCGATTTCTCTCCCTCCCAGCCACCCTATTCGGCTCAGTCCTGGACAGCAGATCCCTACTTTGTAACAGACAGGTCTCTAAAACCAACCACCAGCCATGTGCCCCACGGCCATGGGACACCTAATGTCTGCTAGGATGGTCATTACTCTGTGAGGCCGGTGCACTCACTCCACAGCTGAGGACAGAGAGAATAGGGAAGGATCATTCCCATCAAGGTCTCTGCCAGGACCGGGGGATGCTAGGCATGGAAGCCCCATCAGCATCAGTCCTCAGTCTGTTGGGGGAGACTCCTGGAGCCCAGGCCCCCCACCCCTTTCTTCTCTTCTTCCTGCTCCCTTCTTTGCTCAACTCCCTCTCTAATAAGAACCAACTCTTGCTGACTCTTGGGTGTACTAGGCCCTCACCCAGAGGCAATGGTGCCTCCCGTTCCAATGTCCAAGGACATTTCCAGGGTGGGTCAGGGGAAGGCAGCACACAAAGGCCAAGGAAGCTTCTCTGCTTCTGACATGCACTGGACAGCCCTACAGAAGGAGGTCTACAAGGTCCTGAGTTCAATCCCCAGTACCTAAAAGAAAGAAAAAAAGAGAGAAAGAAAGAAAGAAAGAAAGAAAGAAAGAAAGAAAGAAAGAAAGAAAGAAAGAAAGAAGAAAGAAAGAA